CCAGCGCAGAGTAGAGCGGAAGATTGACTTCTCATGTCTTGCTCACAACCCCTGTTAATGCATCCCAGAATCATATTTGCTTTTTTCGCAACAGCATCACACTGCTGAGTCATATTCAGCTTGTGGTCCACGATAACCCCTAGATCCCTTTCTGCCGTACTCCTTCCTAGACAGTCGCTTCCCATTCTGTATGTGTGAAACTGATTGTTCCTTCCATATGACCTGTGTCATAGCTCTCTGATGCCAAATGCCATAGCTTCACCACAACTTTCTAACCTCTTACTGAGGATCAGTGAGTTTTTGCTGTACTTTTTGATCAAGACAGTAGCATTCCTGGTGACCATCACTGCAATCAGGTGAACATAACTAGTGAAAGCTCTATTAATGATGTATTATGGATTTTTCATCCAGAAAATGAAGTTCCAAGAACTACAGTTCACCTATAAGATTTATTTTGTATGTTCTGTAGAAAAAATGCTTTCTAGCATTTTACTCTCCACATCCAAAGCAAAATAAAAAGCTTAGCCATACTGTTATATGTCAGAAGACATTTAAATCTGTATCTGAAGAGATCATAAAACTTCAGAATACTGTACCAGGTGCATGTGCTGTGACCCAAATTTTAGAAGAAATATCTGAAGTAAAATTGCCAGATGTTTCAAAAAGCATATTTTGGAAGCATAGAGAGCCAGAGGGTACATCCCTTCAGAAGGCATTAATACATGCCTCACCAGATCTCCTTCAACATCTTGGGCGGGTGAAGGAAGTGCCCTCGCTGAGCAGATTTGTAAAGCAGCTAAACAGTCAAACTGTCATATATTGATAAGACACTATAAAAATGGACACTCGTTTCTCTGTAGACCTGGAAGGAGGAAGCTAATCTCTAAAATAGTAATAGAGATGTAGCCGTGTTAGTCTGGGGTAGCTGAAACAAAACACAGGACTATGCAGCACTTTAAAGACTAACAAGATGGTTTATTAGGTGATGAACTTTTGTGGTCCAGACCCGCTTCCTCAGATCAAATTGTGGAAGAAAATTGGCATGACCATATATACCAAAGGGATACAATCAAAAAAAGTGAACACATAAAAAGGACAAATCAAATTTCAGAACAGAAGGGGAATGAGGGGGGAAGGTTAATGTCTGTGAGCTAACGATATTAGAAGTGATAATTGGGGAAGCTATCTTTGTAATGAGTAAGATAATTAGCATCTTTGTTAAGCCCCAGTCGTAAAGTGTCAAATTTAAGCATGAATGACAGTTCAGAGGTTTCTCTTTGAAGTCTTGTGTTAAAATGTCTTGGAAGCAGGATGCAGGTAGTCAAGTCGTTGAGACAATGCACTTTCTGGTTGAAATCTCTAAAGACACTGTAGAAGGGAAAAAGGCCTAATGGCTCTCTAAACTAAATTATAGTGCACCACAAGCTAAATGAGTCAACAGCGTAATTCACTGAAAAAAAAGAGCAAATATTCTGGGATGTAGTAGCAGGAGGGCCGTAAGCAAGATACGAGAGCAATAATTACTACTCTATAACTCCTCTTTCTGTTTTCAAGGTTTTCTGTGAATTTTCATAACTGGCAGATTAGCAAGCACTGTCTCCAACATAGGATGATGGGTGAAGATTCTAGGCAAAAATGGACCTTGCCAAAGTGAGCCGAGTCCAATAAATAATGCTTATCAAAAGGAAGAATAGAACTCCATGTTGCTGCTTTGAAAATCTCTACAATAGCAAAGTAAGCCAGTGACGAGTTTTTAAGCCAAGTATTACTGGTTTTAGAGCTAAAACGTAACAATGATTAGAACATACAGTATTATAAAAGAGCAGTTAAGGATAAAGAGGTAAGCAATAATTGTGATAAAATACAACATGGTGTTACAAAAGGTAAATCATGCCAGTGCAACCTGATCTTTCTTTGAGAAGATTCTGCATTTTCTTTCTCTGGAAAAATCAATTGATCCAATTCACCTGGATTTCAGTAAAGCATTTGATACAGATCCACATGGGATATTAGTTACATTGGAAAAGATAGGAGTAAATACAAGCATCAGAAGGTGGGTATGGAACTGATTAAAAGGGAAACTACAACAGATCACAATGAACTGTCAGGCTGGGGGAGGTTAGTACTGATTTCCTCAAAGACTAGTCTTTGGAAATTAAATTGTATTTCATTTTTTTGTAATGATCTTGGCACAAAAAGTGGGGTGTGCTAATAAAATCTGTGGAGGACACAAAGTTGGGAAGTACTACCAATATACACAAGCTACAAGAAGATTTGAGACAACTTTGAAAACTGGACTAATAGAAAGTTTTACTAAAGGCTGGGGAAATATCAGTTGGAAGCAACAGAGGAGGAAAAAGACGTCTGTATACTGGTTGCTCAAATAGGACTATGAGACACCAAAATTCTGTGGTAAAGGCCAATGAAATCCTTGTATGCATCAGGCAACATATGCGCAGTAGAGATAGAGAAGTGTTATTACCATTGCACAAGGGGCTGGTGAGACCTCATCTGTAAGGTTGTCTGCAATTCTGGTCTCCCATGTTTAAGAAAGGTTTGTTCAGACAAGAACAGATGCAGAGAAGAGCTACCAAGGTGAGAAGAGGAATGCTGAACTTGCCTTATGAGAGGAGGCACAATGAGATTGACTTCTTTAGACTAAAAAATTGAAGGCTGAGGGAAGGTATTTCTCTCTATAAATACATCAAAACAAACGCCAGGGAGGAAGGGGCATTATTTACAGTAAAGGCCAACGTTGTTGTAACACTGACAGATCCCAGTCATCTGAGGGCGGAATCAAATCTGGAACCTTTGGCGCTTAGTGTATGAGACTCTGCCGCATGAGTGAAAAGTCAGCTGGCTCTTAGCTACGGCTGTACAGCAGACTTGTTCTTCTTTCCGTAAGTGGTCTCCGTGCCACTAGATGGGACAGTGCACCACAGCCAGAAGGTGTGTGGGTTACACTGGCACAAGATCAAATGTGCTATAAATAAGTTTAAGGCCACCGTAAGTTTAAATTTGAAATTGGACAAAAGTTTAACCATCAGATGAGAAATTCTATATCTGCCTTCTGAGGGGAGTTCTGTGAGCAAAAAAAAAACCCTAACTTGTTTTAAGGCTGAACATGATACATTTATGGAGGGAATGATGAGGTTGCCTGTAATGGTACATGTTCCATCAGCAACTACTATTAGCCAATATCTCCAGTGGCCAGAAATGGGATGGTGGGTAGGGAGTGCTCTGTGTCACTATAGAAAATTATTTTCTAAGGTGTCTTGCTGATCAGTCTTACCCATGTATTTGGGGTCTACCCGATTGCCATATTTGGCATCAGGCAGGAATTTTCCACTGGGTCAGACTGGCAAAGACAATGGGGAATTTTCAACTTCCTCAGCAGCATGGGGCATGAGTCACTTGCTGGCTTGAACTAGAATAAATGATCAATTCTCTGTAATTTAAGGTTTGAAATCAAGATTTGAGGACTTCAATAACTCAATCAGGGGCTGTAGGCGTACTTGGGTAGGTGAGGTTCTATAGTGCAGGAGGTCAGACTAATGGATCACAATGTCTTCTTCTAGGTCTAGGTCAGATATTAGGAAAAACTATTTCACTAGGAGGGTGGTAAAGCACTGGAATGGATTCCCTAGGGAGGTGGTGGAATCTCCATCCTTAGAGGTTTTTAAGTCTCAGCTTGACAAAGCCCTGGCTGGGTTGATTTAGTTGGGATTGGTCCTGCTGGACTTAATGACCTCTTGAGGTCTCTTCCAGCCCTATGATTCTTCTGGCCTTAGAAACTATGAGTAATGCTCATTACACCTCTTAGTTTTAGGGGAGAGTCTTTTCACTAACAGGTTCCCCTTTACACCTTTTCCCATAGGTGGAAAAAATAATCTGTAAGATTTTCTGACTGGTTGAGTCCTGGCCAGATAATAGCACAAGCCTTTGTCACAGGAGTAAGTCTCCAGTTTTCATCTGTAGCAGTAGCTCTTGTAAAGCTGAAGCAAGATCTCACAATGACTTCTCTTTATGGCCTGCCCACTCTAAACGTAAAGCGCTGAGCTCAGTAACCCGCCTACTGCAGGTAGTAGCTATTAAGAATGCTGTTTTGGTACAGAAGTATTTTAAGAAAGCTTGAGTGCAAGGTTACCACTTGACT